GTTTTGGTTTGGGTGATTGAGAGAGAGAGAGAGAGAAAGGAGTCATTTTCAGCAACCAGGACTGTTTTTGGAAGAGTGGGCTTGGAGAAGAGGCGAGTGAGTTAGCGCTGACCACGAGGAGCTCATGCTACCAATAAGACATTTAGGTGTGTCCCATAGGCCCTTGGAAATGTGAGCTTGGATAAAAGGCAGGGTTCAATGCCATCTATCTGTGTGATGTTCAATATTGTTTTAAAGATTTTGGAAGTGAATGTATGAGCTAATTTGCCCTTTTAAGTAAAATTTGAGAAATAGCATAATTCAATTATTTGCAAATTATGTTAATGTAACATAAGTCTAAAGCCTTTTGGGAAAAGAATAAAAAGTATTTTACGGGCGCCTGGGTGGCTCAGATGGTTAAGCGTCTGCCTTCTGCTCAGGTCATGATCCCAGGGTCCTGGGATCGAGTCCTGCATCGGGCTCCTTGCTCAGTGGGGAGTCTGCTTTCCCTCTCCCCCTGCGTCTCCGCCTGCTTGTTCTCTCTCTGTCTCTCTCGCAAATGAATAAATAAGATCTTTTAAAAAAAAGTATTTTACATTTGATCATGATGAATAGGAAGTGTTGCTTCTCCCATTTTGTATTCTTTAACACAAACGGGAACTGTCTTTTACCTATTAAAATCATTACAAGAATTAAGTCTTCCTTGGAAAACACTCAAGTGGCCCATTTAAATGACTATCACTGCCACATCCAGGACTTATGCTTTTGTTTTAGAATACTACTTACTTTTAGAGAGTTCTGGAAAAAAAAAGAGCAAAATAGAAAGGAATATGAGAAAGGAATATATTTCCTCCTCATCAGTCTTGATGACTTTCTAAAAGCTCATGCCTTTTGGTGGGTAAGATGCATGAGACCACATAGTGTTAAGCACCTTGGACTTTCAGAACAAAGGCCTTTTAGAAGAACAAAGTATCATTATTAATGACACATCATTTACAGTTTTCATCAGTAATGTAAAGTTTCAGCCACTCTAATGGGAAGTTAGTTAAGAGCTCAATGCGGAGGGCAAGGCTATTAACAAATGTTCTTGACAGTAATACCTTTCGCTTCTAAGGAAAAAGATAAATCACACTCAAACTGATCAAAAAGACAAGCTGAAGGGTTCAGAAGGAGGTGAGCCACGGCTTACTGAATTTCTCAAAGGCCTTGTGGCTCATGAGCCCGCTGGTAAGCTCTGCCCTCTGTGATGGGCTCCCTTTCTGCCAGCCCCCTCCCTATCTTCTGGACACCTTGCTGGCTCAGAAAAATGCCTCAGGCTCTAAACCTCATCTTTCCCTCTTATTCCCCCTCTCCTGTCTCTCTGCGTCCACAAATAGTCTCTGCTGGGTTTCATCACCTCCAAGATTTTCCTCTATGATGAGCTGCTCAGCCAAGTTACATGCCATAAGGAATGCAGCCTGCTGCACTGACTTCATCTACATGGTGGGAATCATAGCGCCAGGTGGCAAACCAGTGGGGAAGAGGTTTTTTCCTGAATACATGTTGTTAGTCTTATCAGGGCAATGATGCAGGATGGCTGTATACATAGAGTCAACTCTGTTAGCAAGTTTTACAAATTCTTTTTTTTAATCTCTCTTTTTTTTTTTAAGATTGTATTTATTTACAGAGCGTGAGAGAGAGCACACAAGCAGGCAGAGCGGCAGGCAGAGGGAGAGGGAGCAGGCTCCCCTCTGAGCAAGGAGCCTGATGTGGGGCTCGATCCCAGGACCCTGGGATCATGACCTGAGCTGAAGGCAGACGCTTAATGGCTGAGCCACCCAGGCGCCCCAGGTTTTGCAAATTCTTTATACAAAGTGCTGCTCTCACGTAAGATCTCTTCGGGAAGGTAGTGTATTTTTCAGTGAGATTCGTTAAGGCCTTCTTAATGACATTTTAAAAACTACTGTTTTTGTTGGAGGGGAATTAAGAGAAATTCCACTGGGGGAAAAGAGTTGAAGGTTTTTACTTTGTCATCTAAAAATCAGTCAGCTATGTTTTAGCTACAGAAGAAAAATATCTGAGATGCAAAAAAAAAAAAAGCCTGAAAAAATAGGGAATCTACTATTATTATAGTCAGTGATCACTTATATCCAAGAGCATATAAGGAATTGATTACATTGCAGCTCTACCAATAACTTAGAGAACTTGCTCAAGGTTGTTGAGATCTTCAAAGACAAGAAGAGAGGGCCAGATTTAAAGTGAGGCAGAAAGGGTTGTGGTTGTACATTGCGAAGATGCGTTTGTTACTAACAGAAATCCCAGACTGTTATTCTGTCTCTGATTTTTAATGATTGCTTAGTTAGTAAATTGTTTGTTTAGTTGATTTGATCCTGGAGATACCTGGAGTCTTTTCTTGTTATGTTATTGTTTTGGGAGTTTCCCACCGACCACCTTTATTTCTCTTTTGTTTGTGGCTTAGTTTACAAGGTAGATCAAAGCACATTTCCAGTCCAGTTGTTGAGGTTCAATCTTTTCTGTCTCATTCCAGAAGACACAGCTCTAGCTAGGGGCATTTACTAGGCAACATGAAAATTTAAGCGCAGCTGGAATCCTGAGATATCAAACAAAATGCTACAGCACAGGGATCATCACAGGAAAATGCTTTATATTTTTGTTTGTAAACTTTTTGAGGCTTTGTAGTCCAAAAAACCCAACAAATAATTGCAATTTAGAATTTGAGTAAAATGTAGAAATGGAGAAGACTGCTATAATCACATTCTTTAATAAATTTTCATACTCTTTATTAAATTGATCACATTTTACCAAATTCAAGTAATAGCTGAAGATCATCTAATTCATATTACATTGACGATGTTCATGTAAGTTCAAATTCTGTTTTAGGAAGTTAACACTGAAAAGACTGAGTTCACTCTGAGCCTTATTTTGAAAGATGATTTTCTTGCTGCAATAAAAACCTGCTGATAGCAAATGAACAAAGTGGTTGGTACCATTTGTGCCTTTAAGATCATAGTTCAAAAGAATTAAGCAAACATGATAACAAAGGTAAGGCAAATATAACCTTTATTCTCTTTCAAAAGCCCAGAGAATAGGGCCTGGAACCACATTCACTGATTTAATCAGAATACCTTAAATTTTGTAGTCTCATTAAAACTTTTATAGCAATGGACCAAATATTGTAAAAATGATAGCAAAATACATGGTTGCTCCCAGCCACACAATAAAAAAGTAGTTAATTCTCTTATCCAACATAAAGAAAGCTAGGCTAGTGAGCTGCTTGATCAAACATTCATAATAAATAAAAATGATCCTATATACATATAATCAGATTTTCATAGCCTAAAATCACAACACGCAATCTGACAAAATTGTGTCACACTCAGGAACTGGGAAGCCAACACACTAGAATGACCAAAATATTTTTTGGTTTATGTAAAATAGTGGGGCAGAATATTAACGCACAACTACTCCAGAAGGTTGGAGACAGATGGCAGTGAACATGCATGCTGTCCATCAATTATTAATTTTCAAAGAACTAGAATAGAGTATAATAACATTAATGTAAATTATTCAATACAATTCAATATTCTTTGGCTACTAAAAAAAATACGTCAAAGTCTTGTACTACCTTATGGGCATGAGCAAAAACAGTAGTAACTGGAGAGCAGCTATAAAAGAGAGCAGGTCCTGGACGATTCGGACCGAATACCAAGTTAACTGTTTACTTTCAGGAAATAAACTGGTTAAGATGATATCACTAAGGATTTTTTGTTTTTATTTTGCCATAAAAAGGTGATTTTTAAAAAATCTATTGCTTAGGAGTAAGTCAGTCAGAGAAAGACAAATACCATATGATTTCATTCATACGTGGAATTTAAGAAACAAAACAGATGAACGTAGGGGAAGGAAGGAAAAATAAAATAAGACGAAAACTGAGAGGGAGGCAAACTATAAGAGATACTGAACTCTAGGAAACAAACTGAGCGCTGCTGGAGGGGAGGGGTGGGGGATGGGGTAACTGGGTGATGGGCATTAAGGAGGGCACTTGATGGAATGAGCACTGGGTGTTATATGCAACTGATGAATCACCAAATTCTACCTCTGAAACGAATAAAAAAAATCTATTGCTTAGAATAACTTTATATACAGTAGGCTAATTTTAGAGTAGTCAGACTTTAAGATTATCTTGAAGTTTTCAAATAATTCTTAAGATTCTAGATAACATATATGACTATATTCCTTAGCATTCATTTAAAACAATTACTAGAAATAAGCATGCTTCATTTGAGAACATAGATTAAAAAGTTTTCTCTTAGACTCCAGGGAAAAATGTATGCATGAAGGAAAACTTTTTTCTCTAAGCATAAAAAATAATTTAGATGACAAAGAGGGCTGAGTCAGGAGTCAGGAGACACAGATATGACTTCAGGGAAATCATTTTCCCCTCTAAGACCCCTTCCATCTATCTGATTCTGAAGTTAAAACACTCACTCCAAGCTGTGCAAAGTGACCTGGCATTTTCAAGTTTCTATACAGTACTTGGCAAACTTTTTTTTCACTTTAACCCTCCAATATTAAGTGCATTGATACAAACCCTGTCCTGCAAATCAGTATGCTAGATTTCTAGAGATAGCAAGTGCCCCCCCCATTCCACAAATTATGGAGAGCTTTCTATGTTGAAGGCAGGATGCTGGGCAAGACATGCAATATTACGACTCTGTCACTGCCCCTGGGAACAAATGACTACCTGAAAAGCTGGATGCAGGTCACTGCTTCAGGCCCAACCTCAGACACATGAGGAAACAGGGAAACATACAGTGTTCTACTTGCTCCCTGGTTCAGGACGGTGAATCTGAAGGAATACAGGAGGAAATCTCCAGACAGTCTTGTTAAAACACAGCTTCCGGGGTCTCACTCCAGCCTTAGTGTGTCAGAAATGGGTCTGGTGTCTCCAATCTGTCCACATTTTTAAACAAGTATACTCTCTCCCACCCCTCTACACCTCTGCAAGTTATTTATGGGCTTCATTCTCTCCCTCAACACCCTCTCCCCTGCCCCCCAAGAAAACCAGGGTGTTGTCGTGATAAAAGTTAGAGTCACAGTCAGGAGCCAGTGAATAGCTGCGTGACCTTGAATGAGTTATTTAATGTCCCTAGGTCTCAGTCTCTTCATCAGTTAGAAGTTGAACAGGAATCTCTACTGTCTCTTCCACACTCAAATGCTGCGGACTTGAAGAACCTAACATGTCAACTCGGTAAATCGTGAAGATGGGGAGCATGCACAAGGATGTCTCATTCTGCAGTCCAAACACCCCAGCAAGACTCTGGTAGCCCCCAGTTGGGTGTAATTCTTCCGTCTGGTCCAGGCATCACAACAGGCGGAAAAGTGAGGCAAGGCTGAAACTGGAATTGGAATTGATGGAGAAGAAGCCTAAGAAGCTTGCAGGCGAGTTCTGGCAAATAGCCGGAAGGCTACTTTGAAAAGCAGGAATCACTCCTCGTCCTCGTCCTCGTCGTTCTGGTCCTGGTAGCGAATGTAGACGACCAGCATGACAAAGCCCATGAGGATGCAGAGCGAGCCGACGACCAGGTAGGCGATGCCTAGGAAGGGGTTCTTGCCGCCCATCCACGAGATGTTGCTGAAGACGATGAGCTTGTGGCCGCCGAAGGCGCGCACCGGGTAGTTGTAGGTGATGTTGACGAGGTAGGCGCCGCGCGGCAGGCCGGTCGAGTAGTTGCCCTGGCGGATGCGCGCGTACAGCTTGCGGAACGTGGGCAGCGCCGCCGTGCGCATCCACACCACGAAGTCCTGGTTGATGAAGCCGGTGTTGTTCGGGTCGGGGCTCAGCGCGTAGACCGGCCGGGGCCAGTTGGGCGGCGGCGCGGTGCCTCGGAAGGCCAGCGCCAGGCTGCCGTTCACCAGCGGCGGGTTGCGGAACTTGACGTGGCAGTCGGTCCACCAGGCGATGCCGGTGCGGTCGAGCGGCACCTCGACGTACGGCCCTCCGGGCTGGCGCTGGTGCCACAGCGAAAAGGAGTCGTTGAAGAGGCTGTTGGCGATGGCGCCGCAGGGCGCGATGGGCAGGCCGGAGGCGCGGCGCTGGTAGGGGGCGCACTCGTTGGCCGGGTGGCGCAGCGCGCTCGGCAGCCCGCTCAGCTGCGTGTCGTCGCGGGACACGCTGTAGCGCCGGTTGTTCTGGTAGAAGTTGGTCAGCTCGTAGTAGAGGTACACGGGGCCCGGGAAGAGCTCTGGCAGCGAGAAGTACCAGGAGCACGAGCAGCGGAGCGGCGGCGCGCGGTCCTGGTCGGCCAGGGCGCACGCCGAGCAGTTGCCGGTGCCCGGGTTGCCCGTGTAGTCGTACTCGAGCTCCTTGATACCGTTGGAGGAGTAGAAGAGGCCCAGGCCCAGGCCGATGAAGGCCAGGCCGGCGCAGAAGAAGAGCGGCAGCGCGATGCTGGCCGACAGCAGCGGCTGCCAGGCGGGAAGACGCTGCTGCGTGAACGCCGTGTTGTCGGGCTGGTGGGCGCCCCGGGCCGTGGCGCTCCAGGTCATGGCGGCCGCGCCGGGTCGGACGGGGGACGGGCGGAGTGGCACTCACAAGAGGCCAGCCGGGGGCTGCTCCCGGCTCAGCTTTCCGCTGGCTCAGGTGAGTTTGGGGGCTGGCCCCGCCTCCGGCCCCCCGCACAGGTCTCCGTACAGTGACCTGACCCGCTCAGTTCCGCCTCTGCCCAGGTGAGCGGGGCCGGCTCCGCCCCTGCTGGTAATCGGCAGCGGCGCCCCGCCTCTTGGGAGGTGAGCGGGGCGGGCGCTGGTTTCCTCACCTGGCCGGCGCAAGGCTCGCGTTTCCTCCCCACCTGGGTGGGTACGGCAGCCCGCTCCTCCTCCCCGAGGTGAGTGGCGGCCCCAGGCTGCCTCTGAGTGGCCCGTGCCTTGCTTAGGTACCACCTTCGCTTCCGCCTTCCAAGTGAGTAGAGTGCCTGGGCCAGACTTTCCTGAGATCGGAGGAGCAGCAACCTCCAGCAACAAAGTTCGGTGAGAGATTGTACGGTGGCTCCTGGAGACTTGAAGACTTCAGGTTATTAATCCTCTTTTATCTGCGGGTGGGAGAGTGACTCTAGACCCTCTTGTCTTTGTAGGTTAACTTACGGACCCCCTTTCAGTCAACTTTTAACCACAAATTGTAATGCCGAGAGATTACACTATGGCAAATCGGTTATTCATTCAAGGCCTGCATTCAAATTCTAGCATATTTTTAGAAAAAGAAGAATGATTTTCCCGCCAGGTGCACTAACCTGGGTGCAAAGCTAAGAAAAGTAGAAAGTTCTGTAAAAATAAAGTGAGTCTTTAAAAAAGAGAATCAAAGACTACATGAGGTTCAGAGCCTTTAAATATCTCTCTAGCTGCTGGAAAGGGTCACACAAGGGTAAAAACGCACTGGACTACCTGTGATTTCCTTTTCTTTTCAGATTCTTTGCCTGAGTGGAGAAAGGCCTAATCCAAGGTCCTCAAAGACCTACCTGCTATCCACAGTCAAGGACTTTGGGAATGTTTGGCCTAGGGAGGTGAACTATAAGGATTTATAGGACTTATTTTAAAGAGAACCCAAATTAACTTTGGCTTTTATGTAGCATATACACAGGGGGGTATCAGGCCATTTCAGCTTTGTGCTAAATTCTCCCCAGGTATTGAGGGGTTCCTGCCTCTCCTCCAGATCATAAAATGCAAATAACTTAAATATTTTCTATATTACATCTTGCACCTAGAATAATAGATTGCATTCAGGAGTTGTTCAAAACCCATTGAAATTTGGAAAGTTAAAATTCTTGCAAAATTAAACAGGAATTTTTAAAATCATCTCCCAAGTATTCACCCCTATGGTAGGTACTGTAGAAGACAGAAGAGAATTAGACTAAAAAGGACCCTTGACCTCAAAGCATTTGCAGTCTGATAGGGGATATATATTACTTTGAAGTAAGAAAGAATCAAAATAACCAATAGACAGCATATAGTCAAGTACCAAATTGTACTTTACAAGAATGATATTAAAAATTAAAAAGTAATATTTTAATAATGAAAAATTCATTATATTATTGAATGGAATGAATGCAGGTTGGAGGCTTTAGCTGTTAGAGGTCACTGAAGGAGAGCCAGATGACTTGAATTCCACTTTCCTCATGTCTAATTGTACCCCAAGAAAGGAAATTACAACATTGCCAACAAGTTTCTATAGTCTGATCCAGTCTCCACTACACCTTTTCTTCAATAAGATAAAAGAACAAGCAGTTCTCTGTATCATTATGGTTGAGTTCCATCTACACTTCTCTCATAAAATCATCAGTCAGCCTGACAGAGAGGACACAAAACTAGTCTCTAGGAAGAAATTCAGTCCTCAAAACAATCTAGCAGATCTTAAGTTTAACACCACCACTCCCCTAAAAGTGTGAGCCCCCCTGTTGAGCTGAGAGCCTTTCCAGCTCTGTCTTCCCTGGATGGAAGGCAACAGTTTATTCATTGTGCTAATTAAGGTCACATCAGAGCATCCCAGAAGTCGAGAGAAAAGAATATTTCAAGACGGGGAATGGTCAACAGGGTGAAACACAGCTGAGAGTTCAAGTGAGATAAGAAATGAAAAGGAGTCATGGCATTTGACTTCTGTGGGAGCAGTTGGGGTACTGGGGTGGGAGGAGTCAGGCTCTATCAGGTGAGGGAAAGGGGAAGTGGAGACAGCCGAGGTAAAACAACTCTTTAGAAATGTGGGTGGGGATGGGGAGGAAGGAGAAAGGCAAGTGGTAGTCATTTTGAAGAGTATGTATTTCAAAGGAAAGGCTTCTTTATAGAGGACAGACTAGTGTGTATTCTGAAGATAATCGTTCAGGCAAGGTTACAGATGGGTAGTCCTGGATGGGACAAAGGCAAGAACAGGCAGGGGTTCCAGAGAACAGGGGCAGGGTCACCTCACCTCAGAAATTGGACCACATGGAGTAAAGATGGAGAGCAGAGACTGGGAGTCCTAATGATGTTCGTGAGCAGGTAGCATGAAAGCTGGGAGGGAAAAAGTGCTGGTATTGGGATGTTAAAGATTTTGGAGGTGGAGCAGTACTGAGATCCAGCTATATGTCCTGTTTCCTCCACCAGCTTGTAAGTTCTGAGAGGTCAAGGATTGGTACACATCCTTGTGTCCCTCAGAATTCACTGTATAACAAGGGTTCTGACCCTGTGTCTTTCATTTGATTATACATGTTGTCACGGGGCATTAAAGGACACTTGGATCATGTAAACTCAGTTCTCAGTTCTCAGTACCAATAAAGTGAAGAAATGAGCTCATTCTAAACAATTCTTTATTGCCTCTCTTTATTATGAAGAGAACTCAAAATGAAAGAAAAAGGCATTCTTAATCACAATACTTTCAAAATTACTTCATTTCCCCCTTTTGTCTTCCCGATTTCATCTGTATTTATTTAACTTCTGATTGGTGGAATAATATAAAAATACAATTATCATTCTATTTCTTAAGTTACCTCCTTTTGGAATGAGGAATAAAATAAATATTTTCCGTATTTCTTTGTGGTCTTCATAAATTTTTAAATGGTCCCCAAATTCATGGGTCTACCATATTTAACTACTTTTTTTTAATTGTTGGATATTAGATTTTTCCCAGTTTTTTCAGTATTCCAAAGAATATGGTAGTAGACATCTTTTTGCATATAACCTTTTCTTTTCAGCTATAAATTTCTAAAAGTAGGAAAGGGGCTTAAAAGTCAAACTCTTTAAAGGTACATACTGCTAGAATCTCTGAAACTGCCATAGTAATGTGAACTTTGCTATATTCACCAAAACTTTGCCAACAAAACCAATGGTTAACCACAGAATATATTTAATCTATGCTAAGAGGCTACCAGATATAGGAGAAGCAGTATAGGATAGGGGAAAGAATGCTGCTTGACATTAAGGAAGTCCAAGTTCTATTCTAGTTCCTCAGGAATAACTGACCTTGGTCAGATTGCTTAGCTATCCTGGTCTGATTGCTTACCTGTATGAATATGTTTGCCAAAATGATAGTGAGTATCTCTTTCAATGCAAAGATTTCTGTTCCTGGGTCATCTCAAGGGGTGTCATTTATACTGACTCATTGAATAGTTAGCTTTTATTGAGTATCCCTGCTGTGGGCCAGTCACTCTCTAAGTGCTTTATATACATGATCTCATCTAATTCACACCACAAACCTAGCTGGGAAGCACTGTTACTAAACCCATTGAGCTGATGCAGAACTAAGATTTTGGCTAAGGAAATGGAGGCTGACCAAGTTCTCATGGAGGTAAACGGTCGATCAGGAAGTCGAAGGCCAAATTAATTCTTAACGTCCTGCATTTTCAACCACGACACTATAATGCCTGGGCATACTTCCTCTTAAAAGAACCCCAAACACTTTAACATTGAACCAGTTTTTGGTATTGCAGTTCTTCTCTTATACCCCAAAGATAGAATTCCATGCCACAGATGGAGAGTCCCAGAACATCTGAGTTGCCTTATTTTTGTTTAACAAAAACTTTTGTTTTGAAGCCAACTTTTGTTTAGCATGCCTATTTCTCTTGCTAGAGTAAAAATAACTTCACTTGTCTGTCTATATTCAGTTTTTGCATTTATTTCTTTTCATTCATGACTATATATCTTCCCGTAATAGAGTCAGGATTTTTAATTGGCGTTCCCTTATATAAGTTTATACTACTCAGGATTGTTGCCTATTACTCTGCCCATGGGGCAACTTTTATTTAAAAAGAATCAAATTAAATTGCTTCATAAAATTACAGCATATGTTCAGAAAAGTTTTTAAAAATTCACTGTGCCTGGACTTCATTTTTCATTAAAAACTGTATTCAGCAGACTTCCTGTTGTCAAAAATTATGAGTTGGTACCCCCTAGTGGAAGATACAAAGCAACTTCAGTTCACTACTACTAAAAGCACTGGAGGTACAAAAGACAGGAGGGAATTCTCTGTGCTCATTGCTGCGGTGTGTTGGGTTCTCCTGTCACTACCTTATTGAGAAACAGTGGAGGGCTGTTGTGTGCAAAGCTGCAGGGGGCAGTACAGAAGAAAAATGGGAATGAGATAGGTGACAATAGGTCTTCAGCAGCACTGACTTTATGTATGGGATGGCCATGTTGAGAGACGGTGGATAAACCAGCTAGGATGGGATTGGACTTGAATTGTGTGGTTAGAGTTCATCTGTAGGGTGTGTGCTTGGTGAGTTGGCAGGAGGAAGACCCAAAATGTGAGGAGGACAAGTTGGGTGACAGAATTAAGACAGAGGGGAAGGAAGAGCTCTGGAACTGGAAAAGAGATCAGAACTGGAATTGAACTATCCAGTATGAAAGATGGGACGGGGTATATCCCAGGGTAAGGACTGGGGAAGGCGGAGACACCAAAGTAGAGCAGTGACTGTGGAACCAGCAAATCTGTTGAGGTGGCTAGAGGCCACCCTTCTCTGCCATCCCCCTGTCCCTGAGGAGATGAAACTCACTGGTTTGGGGATGGCCTCACTGAGGACTGTAAT